ATTTTAAAAGCTTGATCGGTCCCCAGCAGAGTCGTCAAGCTGTCGTAACCGATTTTTGCCCGGGCACAAAATTTTTAACTTGGCGGAAAAAAAACACGAATAAATAAATGATTTTGTTTTTTTATAAAATATTTTGGGAGTCGCCATTGACCTTTTGGATCAGGTAGGTCAAATACCTAAAAATTATCTTTTAAAAGAGTTTTTAAGAAAACATTAGTTAAAATATAAACTGACCTGCTTTTTAACCAAAGATTCATTTTTTTAATAATAAAAAGGGATTTGTGGTCGATTACGTTTGGGGAATGATTAACACCCCTACAACGCCCAAAATTGGTACTTATTAATTATAAATTGTCTTTATTATTAAAAATTCAAAGATATATTTAATTTATAATATTTTTATTTATAATTTAAAGAATATATATATATATATATATATATATATATATATATATATATTTAAATAACATATTTATTTATTTAGAAATATCAGAAAAGGGCTTCTAGGTATTTTAAGACAGCTCTTTCTTTTGATATTAAAAAATAAATAAATAATAAAAAAAATTATTTTAATATAGTAAGATATTTATTTATTTAAAAATATTAGAAAATAGCTTCTAGTTGTTTTAAGACAGCTCTTTCCTTCAATATTTAAAAATAAATAAATAACTAAAACATAATAATAAATTAAACATATCTAGTTCATAAATAGGATTTTTATTTCATAGAAAACAAATAAAACAAATAAATAAATATTATTTATTATATATATATATATGACTAAGATAATAATAAAATAATAATTAAAGCAATAATTGAAATATAAAAGTAATAATATTGTAAATAAATAATGATTAAAATAAAATAAATTAAAAATATAGTGTTAAAATGTAGAATATTTGAACTTAGTACTCTACTTCAAAATATCATAAAATCCAGAGGCCTACAGTGTAATTTAGCCTTAATAATATATACGAGATTAAAATGTAAAATATTAAAACTTACAATTTATAATTCGAAATATTAATATAATATGTATATTAATAATATAATTAATCCTTAATTTTAAATATATACATAAACGTATAATCAGTGGCGAAAATATAAATAAAATAAAATTAAAACACCAATTTAAAAAGACATATAAGTTGATTTTAGTGACTAAAATGGAAGTTTAAAAACTTCTGGTGACTGCGCGTGTAGTTTAATTATTTTGAAATTACACCCAGATCCCTCATCAAAACGACGCCGTTTTGATGAGGGTATAAATAGCCTAAAAATCGGCTCCATTGAGCCATTTCTTTCATTTCTCCATTTCAGCCTTCTCTCTAAAACGGAGAGGGAGACCATCGGCCGGAAGCCGTGCTCCGACACCGTCGACCACCGCCGGCCACTGTTGACGGTGGCCGAAAAAACCCCAAAATACCCTAAAACAGAGCTCTAAACGTCCTAAGGCTCAATCTAAGGTTATTTTAACCTAAAACCCCATAATATATCGTAAATCTACGATTTTCACCTTCGGCGTTTTGGTTCTCTGGCGACGTTTGGAGCTCTCCGACGACAGAGTAAGTTCCTCTCTTCTCTTTTCTTTTTTTTTTGTTGGTGGTTGTTTCGTTATGCTCTGTTGGTTGTTTGCTTGCTCTTGGGTTCCTCTCTCTGTTGCTGTTCTCTGTGTTTGGCTTTTTTTTCTGTTTTGCTCGGTATCTCTCGGTTCCTCTCTTCTCTTCTCTTTTGCAGGATATGGTGAGGCTTTATAGCCATTACCGGTATCCTCTTCGAACCGGTCCAAAGGGAAGTTTTCGGTGAGTCACCGAACTTGTGGTGACTCACCCCTTGGGCATTGACGTGTGGAGAGGTTGTGGCAGCCGCTGAAATCTTCGACGAGGGCGGCAGCGTCGTGGTTGAAGCACCTGGCAATGGCGTGGAAGAGGAAACGACAACGTGGCCCTAGGGTTTCTTCTGGCACATCTGGGGACCGTTGGATCAAGGCCAGATCCAACGGTTGAGAAGAAATGCGACTGAGAGATGATGCTGAAACCCTAAGAGGGTTTAGGGTTTGTTGTTAGATTTGGGCCAGTCTGGTTTGTAATCGGACTTATGGTTTTGGGCTTGCAATGTATTAAAATTAATTAATTATTTAATAAATATAATATAATAATAATATTAAAATAAAATAATAATAATAAATGAAACAAATGAAATAAAAAACTAGTGTCTTCACCTATAATCAGACAAGACACTTTAAAGGTACATCCGGTGACCCAATTATATGAAGTGTGCCAAAAGAGAAACATGAAAGTTAAATTCGTGGACTTATGGAAAGAAAACACAGTTTTTGATGTGTTTGTAGATGACCAACTTGTGGGAAGAGGGAAATGTAGTCTCAAGAAGGAAATTGCACATAACAGAGCTGCCACAGATGCGTTGGACAATATTTTGAGAATCTTAGATCAAAAAGATACTGATACTAACATTGCTGGAGAAAGAAATTGAATTGATAATTTATCAACTACAACATGCATTACAATGTGTGGTCTTAATAACAAGGAGAAAGGGCGTTCATATGGTGAGATTTATCTTCAATAATGGAGGTTGGCACATTTGAAGCACATTTATGTGAACGTAATATATCAAAGAGAACGATGATAAAACAAGCCTTGATGTTTCTCTCCACAACATGTAGCATAATTGTAGAAGATATCTTTGATGTTGAAGGATTCATGTAACCGATGAATTCATCTCAGATCATGTTCTTTAAGATTTCCAGCTCTCAAGCTTTCATTGATAATACAATACTCTAGTAATGAGCTATAAATTGATTAATCTACGTGATGTTTGGAACATGTTAACTTAGTATTAACTCAACATGCTCTATAGAATTGTGAATATGAAGTTTTGACATTTTCGTTTATAATAGGGTTGATTGTGTCAATACTTGACTATCGATGAGATTCAGAGAAATAATCGAAAGATGAGATAAAAAACAAAATGAATACCGCGTTCTATGTCACTTCATTTCTACTTTATTGAGTGTGCAAGGTAGGAGGACTGGTCTGTAAATCATGCAGCCTTCGGGGATTTATGAGGCTATTATGCCATTTTATAAAATTAAAAGTGAAAGAGAGAGAGAGTTGAATATCTTGTAACAACCCTATGAGCTTTCTTCCATCTTAACCAGTAAATTATTAGTATCTTTATTTTCGGCTGGCTTATGAGTTAAGACGATGTCTGGCCAAAAGATTGATATTTTTTAGGCAATAACAATATTTTCCTTGAAGAAGTGTCGGCCCACTCAACTATGGTTCCAATGCGTTGCTGTTGCCTTAGCGACTTCATTTTCATTCACACTTGCAGAAGCTCATTTCGATGAATGATCGACGAACCCACCCTCGAATTTTTTTACTTTCATATATCTGTTGAATCAGAGAAAGAATGAATAGAATTTCACATTTTGTCAACTACTGCTTCAAATTTTTTAAGTCTTGATTCATTCAGAAAAGTGAGTGTCAATAAAGGAGATGGCAGCGAATCAGGCGGCGTTGTTGAAGGCGGGGTTGTGTATACCGGGGCTGTGTTTATTCGGCTACATAGTGGGTCCACCACTGTATTGGCATTTCATTGAAGGATTAGCAGCCGTCAGCCACACTTCCAACACTTGCCCACCTTGCCTCTGTGATTGCTCTTCTCAGCCTCTTCTCACTATCCCTGAAGGTTGGCTCCAACTCTGTTAATTGTTCGGAGTTGAAACTTTTGCCATGCATGGCGAGCTGCTGTTAACATTTCTTCTTAAATTTTTCTTATATGATCTTGGTAAATTGCCTAGCAAAATCAACTTAATTTCGTGGCCCGTCTTTAATTTATGCAGGACTGAACAATGCTTCCGCTTCAGGTTAGTTTGCAGTTCCTTTCCCAGTGATGTATTTATTGGAAGATAGAACTGACATAATTCAACACTCATTATCTTTTCTGGGTTTCTTATCTTCTCTCTTTACTCTCTAATAATCACTATAGTACTATTACGATTAAGATGTATGTTACGGATGCAGTTGCGGGTGTTTTGGACGTATAATGTTTTCTATTTGCAGATTGCGCAAAACATGATCCGGAGGTGAACGAGGATACTGAAAAGCAGTTTGCAGAACTTTAGACAGGAGCTGAAGCTAAGAGAAGCTGGAGCTTTGGAAAGTCAGCAACATGCGGACATGGCATTACTGGAGGCTAAGAAATTAGCATCACAGTATCAAAAGGAAGCAGACAAATGCAATTCAGGCATGGAGACATGCGAGGAAGCAAGGGAGAAAGCCGAAGAAGCATTGTCGGCTCAGATGAAGCAGACAGCAATGTGGGAAATTAGAGCTCGACAAAAAGGGTTGGAGAGAAAAGGTTACCAAATCTCACACACAGTTACAAGATAATCTCCTCTTCGTCTAAAACCATCGACCATGGCCATGTAGGAAGAACATCATTAGAAAACTTTCTTGGGGATATATATTTTATTTCAGTAGTGTTAATAAGAATTAATATCAAGTTTATTTGGCAAAATTTTCGAGATAATGTTCTCGAATTTTTTATTTAACGATATAACGTACTCCCAAGATTAATTGCTCAAATAGGGCGAATTGCACAGTGTTGGCCGTAGGTCGCCATGCCTTCCGGACGACCTACGGCGTGGCAGCTTCCCAGCATAGGTCGCCATGCACTCCGGGCGACCTTGTAAGTCGTCATGCACTCCTGGCGACCTTGTAGGTCGCCATGCACTCCTCCTGCTCCTCGCGTGATTCCTCTTGCCCTCGGATGCCCTCGCATAGCTCGCTCGAATGGCCTCGGTCGGATGCCCTCGGTCAGATGGCTTCGGATGCCCAACGTGTTGGAACGTGCATGACACATGCAATCTCTCTCATAGCTCGCCGGGAAGACATGACGACCTAGTAGGTCGCCCGGATGGCATGGCGACCTACGACCAACACTGTAGATTTCACCCTATTTGAGCAATTAATCTGAGGAGTGCATTATCTCGTGAATTAATTTATTCGAGAACGTTATCTCAAGAGTTTAGCCAGTTTATTTGAAGAAAGGAACATATTGGTCCAGAGATACTCTGTGCTCCTAAATACTGATTCTAATTTGCTTTCTCGACGGCTGTGATTGAACCAGCATCCCCACTGATTGAATCATACCTTCTATACATGTGAGCTACAATCAACGAAGCCGACAGTGTCACATAATCCTTTGCTGCACATTGCTTATTCGTCTCACTCGGGGTCCCGGTCTGCGGTCCGTTCGACCAGAACAAGTAATTCAGCAATTCTTTCCCTTTCCCCACAAACCTGTCTGGTTTAAAACTCTCTGGATCTTCGAAAACTTTACCATCCCTCATGGCCAAAGGCTGATATCCACAAAGCAACTCACCTTTCTTAACGTCGAAAACAGAGTCATGAGAAGTGAGTTGAAAATCCTTCCTGGCTCGAGCGTATTGAAGTTGTACCGGCGGGTTCAGACGCAACGTCTCATAAACGACCGAGTTCACGAGCTCCATGTCTTTAACCAAGTCGAACCTCAGACCTGTTGATGTCCCACATACTTTCCTCACTTCGTCTCTTAACCTAGCTTGTAGCCCGGTTTTATCACTAGCTATGGTGCCTAACAATGTAGGTAAAAAAACGGAGAAACCACCATACGCATTGAAGCCGAGGGTGAAGATCAAATTGTGGATGGCGTCGGATTTCGAAAGGCCGAACTCTTTTTCGCCGAGCTGAACGACTTCTTTACCGTGCTGCTCGATGAAGCTGTAGAGTTTTCTATAGCCTCCACTTACGAGTGCAAAAGGGTAGGTGTAGGAGTGAAGAAATATCTCAACCAGGGGCTGAAAAGCTAGGATAGGGACGGTGGGGAGAAGTTGGAGGCCGAGCCATAGGTCGATCGACAAGGGACCTGAATTGGCGACGCCAGGATCGAGGGCAGGGTCGGCTCCGACGAGGGACTTGCTGAGGAAGTTGAAGAGGAAGGTTTGGAGGTGTGAGAGGAAGGAGGAGGAGCCGTTTTTGGAGATGTCGGATTCAATGGTGTCGAAGAATACGTCCAGGTTGGCTTGGAGTTCCTCCACCCACACCTTGGAGCCACGCTTCAGGATGTCTAAAGCAAAGTTCTTGAGCTGTTCAATTCAAACATCTCAAACAACGGTTATTCAAACATACATAAAAAGTATTTAACAAAAACTATCCTACAAAGTTTGAGAAGATAGATAGTAATTTATTTGAGTTCGATTTGAGTTAAATTCGGCTAAAAATTAAATTGATTAGACGTGATTTAAACTCGAATTTTAAACGAACAGAAACAAGTTATTTAATACTCGATTTGAAAATCTTACAAATAATTTGAAAAATAATATATTATTTTTGTTTATTTTAAAAAGAAAATTAATTTATTAATAATATTAATATTTATACGTTGTTATTTTTAAAAAATATAATATAAAATTTCATATATTTAAAGTTTAAATTTGAGCTTTATTCTAACTAAGTCTGTTAATGATTCAAATTTATGTTTTTTCTTAATTTAAAGCAAACTTGACAACTTTAAACTCAAGAATTTTTTTAGTTTAATTAGATTCAAATTTAAACCTTTTAAGTTAAATTGAACTCAATAATATTTAAACTCGACTCAACTCGACCATACTGAAGCTAATTACATAAAAACTCATTTTTGTTTTAACGAAATAAATGATTTATCCTTGAAACTAATAACAAATCTTTTGAGTTTGGAAATTTGTTATAAAAAATAAAAATATTGTTTTAACTTATATTAGTTAATATCTTGGATTAAAAGGTCATTTCAAATTTATATAATACTGGGGCCATGCCGCCAATTTATGGTAAATGCAATCAGCTCCCGATGTGCGGCCATAACTTGAGGATGGGAAAAAGCTTGTCTTGTCTTCTCCTCGTAATAATTCCTTTAGATTACTTTAATCTAATTGAATTTATGTTTTTAATCTAAGTTATTTTTCAACATTTATTTCAGAATAAGATAAATAATAAAATTATCTCTCACAAAGTAATTGATAAATTAATTTTGAAAAGTATAAAAGACTAAGGATGGAAATATATTATTTATTAATTTTTTTATTTTAAATAAAACAATTTAAAATCCAAAATGAATAAATTTAATGAGAAGAATAGAATATTAAGTTTTAACCACGCTTGTAAAATTACTAATGCATCCCTCAATCATTCTTATATCTTTCAATCATATGTTATTCCAAAAGTGCCACGTCATATAACAGAGCACCACGTGTCTTTATAATAATCAGCTCAAACAAAAGAAATCTTATCGTCATCCATCCTCTAAAATTGAAGTTTCTATATTATTAAAATAGAAGGGACTGATTGATCTGACATGGTTCACTCAGCTGACACGTGTTTGTCAAATCCTAAATGCAAGCAGTCGTTTGCATTGGAGAGAAAGATTGTTACAAAATCGGTGGAGGCAAAAAAAGTTGATTTTTCTATTTGTTGAGTTTAATTACTTGTTTTTTATTGAGATTTCTTTTAACTATTATTGAAAAAATATATCTATTTAACATAAATCTTCCCGGATTTAAACTAAATTCTTCACCAATCATTTCGTCTCAATTATCACTTCATTCTGTCGCAGAAGAAAGACCCAGAATCATGAAAGAATTATTTTCAATCAGCTAGAGTTAGAGGGGATACGTACCTGGCCGTGTTTCGGCTCTTCGGTATCAAGATAAGCACAAACTCTGGTATCTCCGGTGTAGCTGGTGCTAGGCATGAAATCCCCAACCAAGACATCTTTTTTCTCAACCACCTCCATGTCGAACAGATGAGCGAAGGAGTTGCAGTCAAGGACCGCGATGACTTTGGGGTTCACTCGGAGGAAGAAAGGGAAACTCGGGGGAACATTCGTACGGAAAACGGTGCTCTTGTGCTTCTCCATTCTTGACCGGAAGAAGGTGTCGGGTCCCTGGAACCAGAAGTAGTCTAGACGGTCGGAGATTGGTCCTACCAAAGGCCAGCCGTGGGATCCCGGGATTGTGAGGACTGGGAGGTTGCTTGCCTGCCTTGATGGTACTGACAGCGACTGACTTGCCAACGGCGAAGAAGATGAAGGTGGTGGTGGTGGCATGCTCATCATGGCTGCCATGGCCTTCATGGAGCTGTAGCTAGAGTGTTTAACTTCGTCTTTGTTTCTGTTCTAAGGATTCTCAGTGATCTATCTGCCTTTTACGTTTTAGAGGGAAGAAGGTAAGTTTGGGTTCGATAGTGATGAGCTACACTCGTTACCGGGGAAATTTTGGAAGATTATGTACGGAGATTTTTTCTTTCGAATAATAGGAAGGGGGGGGGGGGGAATAGAATCGGAGGTTATGCTGATGCGGTGATAAAGGTTTAAATGTAATGGAGTACGTGTCATTTATATATATAAGGCATTTTTATAAGAATAATATTTACTTGAAAAATTATAAGAATGATGTTATTATTTTAAAATTTTCATAAATTAATTTTTTTGAATTTTATCTTAAACAAGATTTGTTAGAAACATATCTTTTAAACTGTATAAGGAGGATTATCTTGAGTCCTAAGAAAAGAGAGAAAAGATCTCGTGTTATACAAGGGGGAGGTTCGTTCAACGTGAATACATTTTTCAGAGAATGCAATTTTATATTTCATTTAATGACTTCGTGTGATTGATAACACGAGATTCTCAAGAAATTTATCGTGAGTAGTATTTCACATACTTCACTCTATACAAAACGCGAGGTATATAATTTTCCAACCCATACCGCAAGTGTTTATAGGCATGTTCAAGGGGTATTTTCGGTTATTTAATATGAAAATTTTCGTAATTTATAATATTAAAGGATTAGTATTTGAAATTATATTTCAGTTGAGACCAATATCAAGACAAACAAGACATTGTAAGCTAGTTAAAAATCGCGTTGAAAATTGTTCCAAAGCTTATTTTGTGCAAAAAAAATGCTAAAATGGTTTGATAGACATATGCAAGGGGTATTTCAGGTAGTTAATCTGAAAATTTTCATAATTTATAAGATTAGAGACGTAGTATTTAACTTATCTTTCAATTGAGAGTAATATTGATACATATGAGACATTGTAAGAGGGGTAAAAATCACGTTTAAAATGATTCCAAAGCTTGGTTTTCTACAAGAAGAAGAAACTAGCATGGCTTCATAGGCATGTTAGGGGAGTATTTTCGGAAAGCTAGTTTAAAACTTTTCGTCATTTATAAGATTATAAGTGTAGTATTGATACTTATGTTTCAATTGAGGCTAGTATCGTACATATAAGACATTATAAACGGTGTAAAAATTGCATTCAAAATAGTTCGAGACCAAACAAAATTGAAAATTAACGAATACATATCTTTAGCTACAAAAGTAGTACATAATTTTGGCTCTTCGGTTCTTTCTTCGACTAAATTCTCGTCATAGTAAATCCTACTCACATAATTAAAAATAACATAAAATAACATAATAATAAATATAATACCAAATATTAAAATAACATAAATTTCAATATTAGAAAATACATTTACATAATTATGCTACATAAATTGCAAACGAAGTAATGTTTTTCGTTGTTCTTGATCCTAGGTTCTCAAGTGGGTTTGATGGAATAAGAAATTTCCCTAGAAGTTTCTTGAATTTCATGTACAGAGGAAGCCCTGGGTTCTTGAATGGAGGATGCCACCAGAAGATGATGCATTTTTAGAAATAATAAATTTCTCGAGAATGTCAATTACTCATGTTGAAGAAAGTTCACGAGACCGACGTATTTGATGGAGAGTGAACCGGGCTTAAAAATGGAATTCAGAAATCATGCCACGACTGCAACAACAACCTTATCCCTTTAATAACTTGTTTATTTGGATCTACGACCGGTTTGATGGAAGAAGAGGATGCCACCAGAAGATGATACCTTTTGAGAAATGATAAATTTCTCGAAAAGGGCATGTTACATGTTTATTTGGATTGACGACCGGTTGAGGATGCCAAAGAAGAGGATGCCTTTTAAGGGCGTTATTAAATGAAAACTCACTATGTCCATGTGAAAGCCGATTTTGATGAAACAAAAAGTTTCTCAATAAGGTCATGTTTGACGAAAGAAATATGAAAGATTTACCCATGAATTTCAAAGGGTGAAATCCTTATAAAATGAATTTTCTTTGGGTGACATAACTTATAGCACCGATATTGACATAAGGATTTCTAAGTTTCGTTCCAAGTCATGCCACTAGAAGAGGAGCCCCTTATAAGTCTAAACCTTGCTTATAATTTAGAAACCTACATCATTACCACCATCGTCATCGTCGTCGTCGTCGTCATCTCCATCGCCATCTACATGTCCAATACCACCACTAACACTAGGACCAAGACCGGTGTAGAGCATGCTCTGCGGTGGCATCTGCTCAACACTGCCAGAGCCTAAGTCTATTGCCAATGGTGAAACAGATCCAGATGGAGGTGATGAATAATATGGTTGAACTGGTGTAGGAAGACAATGGGAAGGGACAATAACCACCAAACATGAACAAAATGTCTTGGTGAAAAAACCTTCTTGGAGGCGTCATATGCTGAAACGTTGACTGATTCGAGTGGGAAAATGTAGGTGGTGTCAACGGTATCTGATACTATATAGGTTCCTGTGTCATTTCTGATGACGAGGTTGTAACGTATTTTCTTCTACTTTGAATTGATTCCCCTCTAACTCCACGTTACGTCAGGGGACTTGCGTCAGCGGACGGTTTTGGAGAGACACATAAATTTCTCGTGCTCACTCCTCCTCGGTTAGTATATGCGGCTTCCCATATTGTTTGTACCACAGCATGTAATCATTTGAAACACTCTAGTCGAAAATGGGTTGAGAAATGGATCGCCTATATAGTCTCGCCATCCACTGCAACACTCATTCCGCATGATGTATCTCCCAACTAACATTCGTCTTCCTCTATCGCTTTACGTGATGCAAGGCATCCTAGTTTGGTGGTGTTAGCGAAATCATTTGGACACAATTAAATTACCGTAGCACGTGATTGGTAGGATGCCAGTCGACTATCTCATAGACTATCAACGAGATCATTGACATCTAAACGTCCGAAACTGAGACTTATTTCAGCTGAAGTACACAATCTAATAGCATCATCATTCTACGACGTCCATAAGAACTACACAAATATTTTTAAATTAAGTTAGATAAACTCGAATTAAAAATTAATATTTAAATTACAAAAAAATTTATAAAATAGATTACCTTTTATGTCATCTTATAGATCAATAATCTAAAATCACGTAGAGTTATTGATAAGTGGGCATGAGTTAGTGTAACAATCCACTTATAATTCATATACTAAAATATAATTATTTGTAAAACCCTAAAACACACATAATGACTTAAATATATAAACGTAGTTTATTTTTAATTACCTCTGAAGTAGAGAAAATTCAAATAGAATCAACTGTGTAGAAATCAACTACAAAAACAATATTTGAAACCAAGTCCAAGATTGTAGCAACATCAAACAACCTCCAATTACTTGTCTGTCCGGATCAACAACATCAAACATAAAGGTCAACATTGTCGATCCTCAACTTTTATATTTGGAGTCCCCAAAACGCATAGATGATATAACCACATCGGATGCGCGGATGAATGTCAATGGAGAAAGTACGGACAAAATATGGCAAAAGGAAATCCATGTCCTCAAGCTTATTACTGATGCACCATGACTGCTGGTTGTCCTGTTAGAAAACATGTTCAAAGATGTGTAGGGGATCAAACAATCCTTATTACATCATATGAAGGAAATCCCAACCACCCTTTGCCTCCGGCAGCAATGGAGATGGATTCCACGACATCATTGGTGGCATGAATGCTTCTGTCGGGCTCCATTTCGAGTTCCGATGGACTAATGAGCTCGAATTTTCTTACGAGGACTATCCCACCATGTTCTTCTAGCATGACTATATCGGCTTGAGCGCCATTCCCCACGGTTACATTGAACCCTTCAAAGTTCACCAGGGTCCCATTTCTTAACGCACCACAAAATCTTAGTTTACCAGCTGGTGCATTACTGCCTCAAATTCTTGGTCAAGCACTTTACAACCAATCCAAGTTCTCTGGTTTGCAAATGTCAGGGAATGGGAAACAAGCATCTGCTCAGTTGGATCATCAGCAACAGCAAAGTTCGGTTGCTGACACTGTAAAGGCCGCCACTGCAGCCATTGCGGCGGATCCTAAGTTCACCGTGGCGTTGGCCGTGACTGTCACTTCTATCATGGGTGGTTCAACCCAACAACACCGGCAGACCTAATAACAGTGGTGCCAACCTCACGTCTGCCGCTACTGCTGGCAACAGCAACAACAATGAAATCAGGAATAATTCCAGTTTCAATGCAAATTAAAAGAAACCAAAATGATCATCTTCTATTATTTTCTTTTCTATATATCTTTTTATTGAGAAAGAAGGGCAAGCCCATTTTTTGTTCCTTTTATTTTCTTGGTTTTATTAAGGAAGAAACTTGAAATTTATGCATATGGGAAAGATTGTTTTGATAATGATATTGGTGGTCGTTCATTTTTAAAAAAAATAGATTCAAAAATGATTTTTTTTAAGGAGTAGGTAAATGATACTGGTCTAAAAGAGGTAAAATGGTCATTTAATTTGTTAATATTGAAATATTTGAAATTTTATGACGTTGATTCTGATAGGATCCTTACATCTTATGTTTTTCTTTTAAATAAATGTGTGCTTTTATAGAACAAAATAATACAATCCGTCGTCTCAACCTATACAACAAAACAAACAAAACAACTCTATCCAATATTCAATTTTATATAAAGAATTCTATTGATAGGATTAACTGTACTAAAGGGCAATCCTATCATTATATCTCTTATAAAAATAATTTTTTATATAAATTTAAAATTAAAATATAAGATAATATATGTTTAAATTATTTTATTTTATTTTTATTTTAGAAAATATTTTTAAATATGGCTCCTCAACTATCCGGTGATGGATTTTTGAAAGATGAAAAACATAATAAAAAGGCCTTAACAAATTATAATGTAAATGAAAACCAAAAGAAACAAAGACGAACAGTATAGTAGTATACAAGTCACAACTAATATTGCTTACAAGTGATGTCTATTTGTCTAACGTATAACCATTTCCACCTTATCCGATTTCAGTCCACTGAGCCATGATGGCTGAATACTGAACACTGCGATTCCGGCCTAGAAGGCTCCCTTCTGGCACTGGCCGGGCAGGCTGATATCCCTACCGGCGCCTCCATACAATTGTAGGACAAGCACACCGACACCGTATCAGGAAGA